GAACTGTTGTAAGTCAAGGACTACTTGTAGAGCCCTAGGGCAGAGGTAGTCGGCTCAGACTGAGGTTGCTGAAGACCCTCAGACAGCCCAGGGCTGCCCCAGAGAGGAGTGCTCTGTGCAGGGCTGTCAAATGGACAGAAATAGGGTGAGGATGCAGAGTATTGAAGCACCCCATAAATAAGTGCAGTTAGTTTGCCAAACACCTGAATTTTGATCACCATAACTTTGGGGACCAGGCATAAGTACTATTTGCTCTGCATCACAACTTTGGTTGTTGAACGAATGGTCATTAAGCAAGGAGTAATTATAATATATTATATAATCTATCACACTAAATTATTTTTAGTGCGATTCAAAGGCAGAAAGATGTTTTGGAGCACTTGGAAATGCCCCTTATAGCACTTGCCTGCAATTCATTAAAGCTGCTACATCTTTTCTTGAGGTGGCAGGTAACACAGCAACTCTTTGTGGCTACGAAGAAAAGACAAGTGATTTTTGAAGGAGTTGTACAGAAGTGTGAACTCAAATCTTCAAAAGACCTTTTGCCTTTGGAGCTCATACTTCTATATCTATATTTATATTGCTCGGAAGGGAAAAAGAATCCATACCTTCTTTGCACAAGTTCAGGAATACTTGATAAAGGACATTCCTTTGAAAACTAAATTCAGAACCTAAATTACAGGACAATCCATTTAAAGAAGAGAGAAATACTTTTACTTTTGTTATAATGACGACTCATCCGTTTGGGGGGGGGAAATCCACTGAACATCAAATAAATTGTTAAGTTTAAGCAGCTGTCTGGATTGCTGTTAAAGTCTTAATGAGACATCCAGAAATTTCCAGAAATGAGATTTCGTAAGCAAAATCGTTTTTCTTCCTTGTGAGATACGAAGTTAATGCTCCTGGTTGACCAGCACAAATGTTACAATTTATTTTGTAACCAAAATAGGATATATTTGGACCCACAATTTTGCCAAGAATTGTAATGTTTGATGCGGATTTGTATTTTGAAAGTGTGGTCATTTGCACAATGGCACTTCCTTCCCCCTCATTTTCCTGCACATCTCCATTCTCTCTGCCCCCCCCCCCCCCCCCCCCCCCCCCCCCCCCCCCCCCCCGCCCCCTAATCTCTTACATAAAGGGAAAGGAACTGCCATGTTCTCTTAGAACTATTCTTAGCTGTGAAATTGCTTATCTGGAGCAATATAAATTCCTTAAGCACGGTCTTGTTAGTCAATTTTTAGTGTTGCCCTCATTCCTATGTGTTATAAAATGTTCATTGGGCTTTTTTATTACTATAAATTAATGTATTGTTGTCAGTTTTTCCCAAGCGATCTATAATTCTTATAAATCCTTTTAACATTATGGTAGTACTATTATTCACAGGGCCTGGGATAATTTGTCTAGACAAAGCTTTCCTAAGCTCAATATGGTCATTAAAAATATTACAACTTCTTTGACTGATGTTTTTCTCTAAGTAATAAAATTTGTCAAGTGTGGGTTTGATCTCAAGTGTCATTCTGTTTCTTATTGTAAAGTGTTTGAATAAGTTGTTCCTTTATTGACTTGTCCTCTTAAAAAAAGCCATTGAACCATCTTTTGTATCTCTTGGGCTAATGAAAACATGCTTGCCTTGTCTTTCCAGTACATTCTTATTCTTGCAGTTTTTTAAAGAAAATATTCTTTCAATATGCCTTATCAGAAGAACAAAATATTTTATTGGTTGCCAAAGTAATTTAATAGTGCTGTAACTTAATAGCAAATAATATTTGATCTGGAGGTATTCGGTAGTGTTGTAAGTTCCTTTGAAGTATGTGTATGTTTAATTGTGCAACTTATTGAAGTCTTGCAGTTAGAAGAGACTAGATTTGAGTTTCAATCAAGTGAAAGTAATAATTTCATCACTTTGTAATAATATAAACTGTTTATGGTTTCTCGGGTGTGTTTTGTATCTACTGCTTATACAAGATAATGCACACATATTTTAGCAAGACTGTAATATGCCCTTTGTGTATAAAATTACGGATACTGCTTATACAAGATAATGCGCATATATTTTAGCAAGACTTTAATATGCACGTTGTGCGTGTAAAATTACAGATATTACAAAAGTCTCACAAGTCCCTTAAGTTTAGGCATTTGCACAGTGCTCTGCTATGATTTTATTCAGTTGCAGTTTTCTTGTAATAGGGGCCATAATTCCTTTTGATAAACTATGTAGTTGTAAAATGCAATCTCATGTGACCAGCCACTTAATGATGGCAGTTCCGGTGATCCCCAGGTACCACTGTTAAGTGAGGACCATGAAGGTCACTATAAGCAAAAACCTCACATGATCGTGAAGCGCAATCACATGATCATGGGACACTGCAACAATTGGTAATCCAGGCCAGTTGCCAAGGGCTTAGGCCATGATTGTGGAACTGTAGTGATTCTGCACTGGCCAGAATTTTGAGGACTGTTATGTTAGGTGCAAGTAACCAGGAACAGGAAGCATTAAAAGTTTATTACATGCAGCTTATACACAAGAATCTAATTATTAATGGTCAAGCCAAAATGGCGCTAGATAAGGGTTAATGGGGGGCGGGGCTGGACTTAGGCTCTTGTGAGAATGCAAAGACTCTAAACCAATGACGTGTTTAATCCTGCCTTTAGGCTCAGCCTGTTTAATCTCCTACATGGCCATAACTACCCCTTATTCAAACATTGTCACAAGTTTAAATGGTCACTGAATGAGTGGTTGTTAAATGAGAAACACTTGTACTTGTTAATTTATATATAGATCTTCTATCCTGATAGAACTATGGATCCATTCCCTTCATCATAGCCTCATATGAAACAGTTTGATAGAACTCTCAATGTTAGAACGAGGGATGGCTATGTTAAGGTGAAATATAAAAATTTTGCCTTCACAGGCATTTCTTGACATGGGTTGTGCTGTGAAAATGCCAATGTCATGTACATATTCCATGAAATAATAGGTGAGAGAAGAAGATGTTGGCTGGATAAGGGAGAGAAAGATAAGGACCTTTTGCATAAGAGTCTTACAGTTAATGAAATATATCTTGAGGGATTCATGAGACTCTTATCTCTACCATTTATTTATGAAAGCTTTTTCTGGACTTCGTACTTATTCTACCACTTGGAACTTATGTTGGAAAAGTATTTTGATCTTTGTAGTGAGTTGGCCTCGACGTAACTTACATTACACCCCAACTTTTATTTCATGCCAACAGATGGCAGTACCTCTCCGGTTATGTCTGATTTTAGAAGCTAAACCATGTTGGCCATGTTTGGTTGGGGTAACCACTTGAAACCAAAGGCTAAAAATCCTGGAAGAAGGGAGTGGCAAACAGCATCCTTGCTAAAACTGTATATATGGCATTTGCCAGAAATTGAATATAACTCAAAGGGGACTTTATCTTTTTAGTGATTCTAATTAATAAAACTCAATATGAGCAATCTTGCTTTTATTCTGAATCAGTGCTGGAATTGCACTAGAGGGCAGCATGCTACTACACTACAGTGCTTGAAAATTCAGGTTTCTAATTTTTAGTTTCTTCCTGGGAAGAAGTAGAGCCACCTATTCCAGTATTTTTACATAAATGAAGTTAATTTGAACGTGTGCCATTTTGTATACAGGAAAACGACAGACTGTCCTAATTATTTGCATGCTACTGGTAAGAATAAGTTTATTTGTAGAACTATGATTTATTGATATATCTTATTTCGTTGCTTATCAGCTTTGAGAAATGCTAATAAAAAAATATCCTATCACAGTCATGATCACACTGTAGGCAATTTGTCTTCATAAATTAGTATGTCATAATATAACAAATACATTGGTAACTGATCCAACATTCTTTATCAGTAAGAAGATACATAATATTGGAATTGGTAAGAGCTTTTTTTCACATTTAAATTGGCATTTCATTACCTTTTCTATGAAATATTGGAAAAATCTCGATAGAATAACTTTCCCTAGTTTGGGTATCCATCAGATGTATAGGCTTTAAGCCTCAGAATGCTCTACATGTCTATTCTGGTAGGAATTTCTGAGAAAATCTACACATTGGGATGGCATCCACACAGGAGAAAAACAGTAATAGGATGATTTGATGAATGCAACTAAATAATTCATTTGAACACATCTTCAGGGTACTATTGAAAACCACATCATAGAATTACCATTATATATATTATTACTTGTTATTGGAGATTATACCAACCTTTCTAGGGATGTTGTTCTTTACTCTTTGCACATTATTGTTTTCATTTGGTTGTTTCTTGGTTTTAATCCTGTTTTCATCTTCCAAAGTCACATTTGCAAAACGGATGACTATACAAATCAATATCATCTGATCTGCAAAAATCCACATGTGCTAGATTTCCATCTAGCTAAGAGTTACCATTTCTGTATTCATTTCTTTATTGCGAACTGTCATCCAGAGTTTGTAAGCCAAATATAGTTGTCCTATTATACTGTCATATCAAGTGGTGCTAATTACATAGTATAGACTGGATTGGATTAACAGGTGGCTTGGGGGCCGTGGTGGCTCATGTGGTAAGATGCTGGGCCTCCCCACCGCTGAGGTCGGCAGCTCAGCGGCTCAGTTCCCATGGGTGAATAAACTGTGGAGGGACAAGAAATGAGCCTCCACCAACTGCCTACTGGCATTCAGGCGTCCCGCGGGTAAAGATAATACCGCCTGTAAAAATTCCTTTCGCAAAAGCACCAAATCACCTTGGTGATCCCTGGCTAACACGTGCCATACGCTAAATAAATAAACAGGTTGGAATAGAATACTTTAATGATCTAAGAAGTGATGAAGGTGATTTACTAATTAGTTGCTACTTTATTATTACCACTGCCTCAGTGCTACCTTAATTCAGCGTATTTATAGATGAAAGTAAAGGATTTTTTATTGTGATATATACTCAAATAAGAAATGGCAATTTTCCATATTCCATAGTTAGAAAGAGTCTTTATTTCTCTGTAGGCACCACCCTCCATGGTCAATAATGAACAACGTCAGCACGCCGAACACATATTTTTATCATTTAGAAAATCAAAATCGCCGTTTGCAGTTTGCAAACATATTTTAGGTAAGTCCTATGTTTCAATCAGAGTACCATTAATTCATAATCATGTAGCTTTCTAAAACAGGTTAAGGATATATGTGTGAATATTGTTTTTTTTTTCTAGCAGTGTCTATTGGATTTAGAGATGCATATATTAAGCACTGTTAACTTGAAAATAACCCTCATTCATCCTAGTGAGTCTTGGTTTTACATAAATTTGGCTAAGATGTTTGATTCAAATATACAAATACAGCTGATTCCAGAAACTATCCTTACACCATTTTAAGAGCTATGACAATTAATTTATGCTTTTCTGCAGAAACTACAGCAATTTAAAATATTACTTGCTTTCTTTTTGATGAATCAAACACAGAATGATTTTGCAGTGTTTAATATATCACAAAACCAAACTGGATAGATTATACCTTTGTTAGAAATTAATGTTAATAAGGAAAGCTTAATAAATAGCCAGATAAAGTTTAAAAGAATACAGGTAGTCTTCAGTTAACAGCTGGCTCATTCAGCAATCATTTGAACTTACAACAGCACTGAAAAAGTAGGTTTACAATTTGTCCTTAAACTTAATGCCATTGCAAGGTCCTTATAATCATATGATCATGTTTTGTGCACATTGCAACTGGCGCTTATATATGATGTCATCCTATGGTCACATGATTTCTATTTGTGACCCTCACAGCTGGCTTCTGACAAGCAAAATCAATTGGAAAACAAACAGGTAGTAGTAGCATGTCGCAGTCATGTGACATTGTGTTTAATAGCTATGGATGATTTGCTTAACAACTGCAGTGAAGCTGACATCGTTGAGTCAGGTGTAGTCACGTGATGTTTCACTTAATGATCACTTCGATTAGCATTGGACTTGCCAGCCCCAACAGCAGTCATTAAATGAGGAATACTTGTAGAACTATTTTATTTGGTTTTAATTGAAGAAGTGTCGTTACCAAATAGAAATGTCTAGGGAAGGTGTTACAAAAGCATCCAAAAATACTAATAATAGAAAAATGTTAATGGCAAGGTTGATCAAGACAATGGTGTACATCACGGGTGTCAAACTCACAGTGTCACATTGCCGTCACGTGACGTTTCGTGACATTTCCCTTCACAGAGCTGGGGTGGGTGTGGCCTACACATGATGCATCCAGCCTGTGGACTGCCATTTTGACACCCCTGGTATACGTGCTTCTTAGGAACAGCTTATGCAGTAGTGGGATAGAATCTTCTGTTTTCAGATTGCTGTTTTCTGTTTTCTTGCTAGTGAGTTGAGCACAACAGCATCATCCTTTTAGTGGCTTGGGTATATGATTGTGGCTAGGATGGTGTTGATACACTGAATGGGAGGACAGCAAAATATTATGGAATATTTTCATGTCACCACTGGATTTCACTGGGAGAATTGTTTCTAAAAATGTCTGCTTTTTGCATTAATGTGTGACCATTTTAAATATCACTTTGGGTTTAACACTTATTTATGCCTAATATTTACTTACTTCTAATTTTAACTTGCTGATGCTAGTGTTTCGGTAACTTGTTTTTGCTGTTGATTTATGTATTTTTATGTATTTTTAAAATATCTGTTGAAATATATATATCTGTGTTTGAATGTTGTAAAGGACAGGTTTATAATTGCTATGAACCCTTTAGAAAAAGGTATGTCCTAAAATCCAGCCTAGAATTTCAGACAAAAGTAAAAATAAAAAGTAAAAATAAAATTAAAATAATATTTTTCATTGGTGATATGTGTTTCAAGCTTTTGTCTATGGATTATGAGTTTATAAACGTGCATTTCTTTAACAGAAACTAGTAAAGTGGACTATGTCCTTTTTCAAGCCGCCACAGCGATAATGGAAGCAGTTGTACGAGAATGGATTCTGTTGGAAAAAAGCAGTATAGAATCACTACGAACATTCCTTTTAACATATGTCTTACAAAGGCCAAAGTAAGTACAGAGCATGGTTTAAAACATTTGTATAGTTTCTTGAATAACAACTTTAAAAATTAGATGCTTTCCAATTGAGATTGATAAAATCCACATAATGAATTGGCTTCTGTTTTCATGGCCAAAGAAAACATAACTGGTGGAGTCAGTGTTGCATATACAAGGGGGGAGTTTCTGTCCCTGAGACGTCCAGTTTAAAACATGATGTCAAATGTAACAGAGAGACATCTAGGATGATTCCAGAGACAATATTAATTGGAATACAGACCACATGGTATATGTGATATATAAGAACTTCTTATGTTCACGTACATGTTAGAAGTTGGTGGTGGTTGTTTGGGACCTCTGAGATTCTTCTAGAAGTGGGTGTAAATTAGGAGGGATGTTTCACTCTTGATAGGGCCAGTCTAAAAGTAACGGGGTAGTCATACCCTCCTGGAAGTTTTGCTTATTGGGTTTTTGCTGTTCATTGATTGCTCTGTAAAAGCTTTGAATGATGCAGCTTAAAGGAGAGAAGAAGAAGAAGAAATGAGAAAGATCCTTGTCTTTAAGTAAAGTTATCTTCTTAGTCTTACATAAAACATGGGTTAGGGTACATGAGTAATTAACATATGCCTCTCCATCTCATAGATATTGTAGGCTTCTCAGAGAAAGAAGATGGCAATTTGCAAAATATTATTAAGTGCAGGATATTTACATGGTTTCCTTTATTAGGAAAACAGATAGCTGCCTCCCCAGCATTTCTGCAGGTGGTAAGCAAAAGGATCCAGAAAACTGTTTTAACAAACTAAAGATAAATAGGCTGCTAAAGTAAACATATCCCCCAGTTGCTAAAGTTTTATAACCTAATTCCATTTTTTAATTTCAATACATATGATTAATCTTCCAAGATAATGTTTGTTAAGTATTTTAATGTAAGTCTGAAAGCGAAATCTGTTGCTGGCTACAGACTGCAGTTTCAACTATAACTGCTGTGAATGAAAACATTAAAACCATTCACTAAGTCTAAAAGTACATTTGAAAACCAATAAGAAAAATAGCTAACATCAGGGCTGAATCTATTTCTTGATCCAAATAAACTGATTTTGGAATTTAATTCAGCCAGATTAAAAAAAAACTGTTGTAAACAGCCACAGTCACTATATAACAATTTAATAAATAAAAGTAAAAACTGTGCTATGTATATACGAGCTGTGCCAATTACAGTGGGAGATGTAACACGGGATGCTGCAGGATATGACCTGAATCTGTCCCAAAGACTCCCTCTGCCTCCCCCTCCCCCAATAGCCTCCTATGCTTAGGAGGATAGGTAGTATTTGAGGTAAGGAAATACCAGTCTGACATTTATTCATTGCCTTCAACCTCTCTGAGTAAAAGAACCAGTTGTTCCGCCTTCCCTTAAATATTCAGCAAGTGATTACTTTTTCTGTGTTCATCAGAATTTTCCTCAGCTTCCGGATCAGGAGAGGAATCTGCCCAAAGATGTCAGAAGATGGGGCTTTCCCCTTTTCATAAATTCTGCCTCTAAGGGGAATTGTTTACTTCCACACAGAGAAAAATTAAATGCTAGGACAGTGAGGATGCTGAAACCTAAATTAAAAGGCTGGCAGGCCAGGCCACATCCTACGCACATGCCAGAGATTCCTTCTTCCTAGCTTATAAGAAAAACCGTAAGGCAACAACAGAAGACAAGAGAATTTTATAGCTAATCAGCCCAGTCATTCCTGCTTTCTAAAAGCAGTACAACTAAGAAGAGTTTGTGTATTTTTGCTTTGCAAACAATTATGTCATTTTGATCAGTGCTGAATATATTTTATATTTTATTTTGCAGCCTCCAGAAATATGTACGGGAACAGATATTGTTAGCAGTAGCAGTAATAGTGAAACGAGGGTCTTTAGACAAATCAATTGAATGCAAGAGCATTTTTCATGAAGTCAGTCAGTTGATAAGCAGCGGCAATCCCACAGTGGTAAGTTATCATGTTTAAAAACACATCCTTCTTTACATCTTCCTGGACATTTTTTTTTCTGTCATTATACTACTTATTTACTTTCAGGAATAATTTAAATCTCCCTCTATGCTTCTGTCTTCCAAATCTGCTGGAATTGCTGTGTCCATTGAGCATTCTCAGGTCACAGTCACAACACAGTTGGAAGTAAAGAGTTGAGGAAAAGGGCATTAATTCAAAGAGATTCCCCATTCTGCTCTAGGAGTAGATCAGGCCTAAGCTGCTCAGGGGGTAAAGTTTGCCATTAAAAGGTAAAAAGGATAGGCAGCTGTACAATATATTTATCAATTGAAGTATAGCAATAAATTACATTCTGTTATTCCGACACCAATGGCATTGCTATGCTTGGATTCAATTTTGCTCCTTAATTACAGCATAAATTGTTTTTGAGTCTCATATATTTTTGATATCCCAGTCAAATTATTAAGTGGTAGGTAGAATAACAGAGTTGGAAGGGATCTTGGAGGTCTTCTAGTCCAGGGCTTGTCAACCTTTTGGACTTCAGAGACCACCAAAATCATAATTTTAAGTTTTAGATCCTGGGAAAATCACAAAAAAAGTCTGGAGGAAAATTCCCCACCCTGTTTTCCTACCAACCAATCATTCTTTATTTGGGGGATCGCAGGATACTGTCTCCAGCTCTGTTCTGGGCGGTGGGGGGTAGCAAGAGAGACTTTTGGCTTCATGCAAAGGAAGCAGCAGAAGTCTTTCTTTCCCTCAAACTGCCAGAAATGAGTCTTTGTGAGACTTGTCACGCCGGCGCAGCCTCTTGGAGCAGGATTCCCAGCAGGGTCCCAAAGACTCATTTCTGGCGGAGTTTGGGGGAGAGAAAGAAAGACTTTTGCTACTTTCTTTGCGTGCAGCCAAAAGCAGAAGAAGAAAGAAGCGGAAAGAAGCAGCCAGGTGGCCAGGCCAGGCGTGTGGGGCACGTGGGCAAGTTCCCCCCTCTGCCCTTTCCCCCCCTCCCTTCACTACCTCATGTTGTTCACAAAGCAAGCGATGCAAGCCTTGTGTTCCTGTGGGCCATGTGGGCGGCACAGCCTTGTGTTCCTGCGCAGCCTGGTTTAATTGTTTTGGGGGGGTGCTTTGGGGATGACATTTATCTGCAGACCATCAAAATTTTCTCGTGAACCACTAATGGTCCCCAGCCCACTGGTTGGCAACCACTGTTCTAGTCCAACCCCCCTGCTCAGGGAGGAAACCCTATACCATTTCAGATAAATGGTTGTCCAATCTCGTCTTTAAAACATCCAGTGTTGGAGCATCCACAACTTCTGAAGGCAAGTCGTTCCACTGATTAATTGTTCTAACTATCAGGAAATTTGTTTTAGTTCTAAGTTTTTCTAGATATCCAGATAAATGTTGAGGTTGTCAGAGATGTTCTTTGCATTTGGTTTGGTTTACATCTGTTCCTAGCTGTGTTCTGTCTGTAAGTCAGCTGTTGGAATGGTCTGAGGAAAGACCTTTTCCATTCCCTGGGGAAGTGGTAGGGCTGGGTAGAAGGGGTGTTTGCCGACTCCAAACTGAAGATGGCAATATAAAACTTACTCATGTTACATTTTTAGAAGCCAATGAGGAAATATCCTCCACCCTCTCATGAAGCTGTAAATAGAATTCCAGCACCTTATTTCCACTTGCGCCGTTAGTTCCAATTCCATATGCTGTGCCAGAAAATGTTCCACTCTGGAAAGGAGTTATCTGTACTGCTTGCTAAAACCTTTGGTAGCTAAAACAGAATAGTCCGAGCGAGCTTATCTATCTGCAATAAAATGAAACCAATGCTATGTGTATAGCAGCAAAAAAAAAAAAGTCTAAGAATAGCACAACACATGTCACGATGCTACGAAATGTACAGATATTAGTAAAATCCTTTACCTGTAATGATTGACAACTTCAACCTTATTTTAATAAATATACATTGAGTATTTGTGAGCCATTTGATTAGTTTAAACATTTCCCAGTGACTACTTGAAGTTATTAAATCTCATTGGAAGATAAGGACAAGTTTGGTATTCATACAATTACAACTTATGAATTATTAGCAAAAATAATTCAAACTTAGCAGTTTTCTCCTGTCTTCTATTTGCATTCTGACCAAGGGAAACTATTAGTTTTCAGGTTATTCAGCTCGAAATCTGTATTATGCTCCCATGTGAGTTTTCAGATATCAATCAAAATAATAACTTTGCTTTTCAACACTTAGAAAACGGTTCCATTCTACACATGCTCTGGAATATTATTTACAAAGACTTACTACATTATTGCCAAGTATGGGATATTTCTATTGTACATTTACCTTCACGTGTCAACTTTTTATTCTGTAAACCCAAGATGACATACATAGTTCCTTCCTTACCATTTTATCCTCACAACAATTTTATAGGGCTAAGAGTTAATAATTACTGAGTTCCTACATCTCAGAAGAATTATCTCTTCTGCCATAGTGTAATGCTACCCACTTTCTTAGAGTTGAAGCTGAGCAACCTGTTTTAACATTTGATTGAGTTAAATTTGATAGTGCTAAGGCCTAGTGCAGGCTGCATGTTTATGATCCCTTAGTAACAGTCCTATTTTGTACAGTTGATTGGTTGATATTATGTACCATCAAATTGTGTTGACTCTTAGCAACTACGTATATTTTCTCCTTGACAATCTGCTTTTATATTTAACCAATGGTACAGGTAGTCCTCAACTTACAACCACAATTGACCCCAAAATTGATGTTGTTAAGTGAAAAATTTGTTAAGTGAATTTGTCCCATTTTACGCCTTGCCTTGCCACATTTGTTAAGTGCATCACTGCAGTCAATAAAATTAGTAACATGGTTGTTAAGTGAATCTGAGTTCTCCATTGACTTTGCTTGTCAGAAGGTCACAAAATGACTCCTGAACACTGCAACCGTCATAAATATGAGCCAGTTGTCAAGCATTTGAATGTAAATCCCGTGACCATTGGGAAGTTGCAATGGTCATAACTGTGAAAAATGGTCATGAGCCATCATTTTCAGTGCCGTTGTAACTTTGAACAGTCACTAAATGAACTGTTGTAAATCGAGGACTCTCTGTATTTAGTAAATAGTAATCTACCCTTAGAAAAGTGTAAATGTTTTAGTTATTCAGTGAGTCAGGTACAACTCATAGAGCATGATTTTATCTCAAGGAACTGATTCCATACTTTTAGTACCTTTTCCCAGTATAGTTAACATTGGTCTCTGATGGACAGAGCTTCTGCTAAAAAGCCAATTACTAATTTTAGTCTTCTTAATTCATGTTTTCCACCACTGACTCCAAGATGCTGAGGAAATGTATGTGGAATGAATTCCACTTAACCACAAATGCCTGCAGCTCATTGGTGCTGGACCTCAGTACAGAACTCTCCTTTCTGCTTTGGCTATTTGGAAAGATTCCCCATTCTGAGACCTGGAGTGCCGCTTCAGTGTGTGTGTGTGTGTGTGTGTGTGTGTGTGTGTAAGTGAGTGAGTGAGTGAGTGAGTGAGTGTGTGTGTGAGAGGGGGTGGAGACGGAGAGATGGGGGGAGGGAGATAATATGGCTGTGTGAACTTTCAGCTGCTGGTGGAGCTGCCTCATATTAATATACAAAATAGTCTGTTCACCAACTTGTCAAGTGTTTGTTTATTTATTTAATTTAATTTGATTTGATTTGTCAATCCCTTACAAGATAATAGGCATAAGTATAAACATAAGTAAGAACACAGGAAATACCGTATTTCCCCATGTATAAGCCACCCCTTTTTTCCAAAATTTTCAAGCCCAAAAAGTAGGGGGGTGGCATATACAAAGCAGGTACACTTTTTATACGTGAAAAATGCATAAAATAATAAAGTAGGAATAAACTGGTTTTCCAGCAGTATGCTATACTTTTTTGTAAAAATTGTACGTGATGATACGATTACGAGTGCGAGTACACGATAGAAATGCATACGCTAGGCATCGGCCTGAATGCTTCGTTCCTACTCTCGTTCCGATGCGTAGATTGCTAGCGTCGCCCGCACCGCTTTCGGCGTCATGACCGAAGTTGTAGATCTAGACGTCGAATTTTGTTTCTTTGTAAATTTTCTTTCTTCATAACTTGTTTCTCTAATAAAATATTTTTTTCAAAACTTCACAGTCCAAAAATTGGGGGGGTGGCTTATACAAAGGGGGTGCTTATACATGGGGAAATACGGTAGGTACAAATAAATGGGGACAATAGGACAGGGACAGGAGTCACGATGGTGTCACTTATGTTGCACCTAATGTGTTCACTGAGTTATATATGCCTGGAAGTCTCCATTGAAGAAAGTTAAACATATTTACCATGAGCTATGCAAAATAACAGTTGGGTAAATTAGCTGATCATTAAAAATGGCATGAATTTTAAAATGGATCACATTTCCATCTTTACCCTACACATGACAGAGCAAACCCCAAAAGAAATATAAGAAGACACTAATATATCCTCATCCCTGGTTTATATTTGACACCACTAGTCTTTAAGTCTTTGCATTGTTATCTTTTTTTGTATGTTTTGCAATTAGACATGCAGAGTTTGTTTTTGGCTATAAGATAAAACCCAAGAAAGTTTTTAAAAATTAAAAAGTTAAAAAAATATTAAAGTGATTGCAAAGAACAGGATTTCTTCAGATCTTTCAAAAACTGTTAAATTATTTGCATGCCAAAAGAAGGAGCAATACAGATACCCTTTATTCTAATTACATTTAATATAACACAAATCACTTCTGAAGATTCAGAAAAAGTTGGTTACATAAATGTTGTACTAAACTAGTATCCCAAATCCAAAATATCACCTTTTAAAAATTCAGTTAAAATATGTTTTATAGGAATAAATGATAAGAATGCAGCTTCTGATTTTATATTTTAGAACAGCTTAATAATATTATGGGGGGCTATGGATAGAAAATGTTCCTTAGGGCTAGCAATTAAATTAATTAGTAGTAGTTT